GGAATCATCTCCAGGTGGCGCTGGGCCAGCCGGGCGATGCGCTGCGGCTGGTTCAGGTAGCTCCACTCGGCGCGCAGCACATGCAGCGCCTCGCGGTCCTTCTGGATGCGGGTCTGGGTCCGCGCCAGGCGGTCCTCCAGGTCCTGCACCTCGTACTTGATCTGGAAGACCAGGCCGACGGCGACCGCGAAGGCGACGAGCCAGAGCAGGGTGGACCAGCGCAGGATCATGCCGCCCCTCCCGTCGCCGCGTCGGCGGACGGCCAGGCGGGTGCGGCCGTGCGCTCGGCGGCGCGCAGCCGGGCCGAGCGGGCGCGCGGGTTCTCGGCCGCTTCGCGCGCGCCGGGCTTGATCGCCTGGCGGCGAATCAGCTCGAAGCTGGGCGCCGGCTGCGCGCCGCTGTCGGGCAGGTGGCGCGAGCCGCGCGGCGCGGCGCTGGAGCGGCGGCGCAGGAAGTCCTTGACGATGCGGTCTTCCAGGGAATGGAAGCTGACCACGGCCAGACGCCCGTGCGGCGCCAGGCAGCGCTCGGCGGCGGCGAGGCCGCGCTCCAGCTCGCCCAACTCGTCGTTCACGTAGATGCGCAGGGCCTGGAAGGTGCGCGTCGCCGGGTCGATGCCGTCCTTGGCCGCGCGCACCACGCCGCGCACCGTCTCCGCCAGCTCCAGGGTCCGCGCGAAGGGCTGCTCGGCGCGGCGGGCGACCAGGGCGCGGGCGATCTGGCGGCTCTTGCGCTCCTCGCCGTAGCGCCAGATGAGGTCGGCCAGCTCCGCCTCGCTGCGGCTGTTGACCACCTGCGCGGCGGTTTCGCCGCCGGGGCCCATGCGCATGTCGAGGGGGCCGTCGCTGCGGAAGGAGAAGCCGCGCTCGGCCTGGTCGAGCTGGGGCGAGGAGACGCCGAGGTCCAGGGCGATGCCGTCGACCGGCCCCTCCAGGTGGCACGCCATCTGCGAGAAGCAGTCCTGCACGAGCCGCAGGCGCGGGGCGTAGGCCGCGGCCAGCGGAGCGCCGGCGGCGATGGCGGCGGGGTCGCGGTCGAAGGCGACCACGCGGCAGTCGGCGGCCTCCAGCAGGCCGCGGCTGTAGCCGCCCAGCCCGAAGGTGCCGTCGAGATAGATGCCGCCGTCGCGCGGACGCAGCACCTCCAGCACCTCGGCCAGCAGGACGGGGACGTGTCCGCCGGCGGGGTGGCCGGGAGTGGGGAGCGGCGCTTGCGGGGTGCTGCGGGTCATGCGGCACCTCCCGGGGCGCCGCCGGGGCCGGACTGCGGCTTGACCGCCAGGGAGGGGACCTTCTGCTTGGCGGACTGCCGCCGTTCGGCCTGGTAAGCCGCCCAGCGCTGGGGTTCCCAGATGCGGAACAGCGAGCCGGTGCCGACGAAGACGGCCTTGTCGCTCAGGCCGGCGACCTCGATCAGGGCGTCGGGCAGCACGATGCGGCCGTTGCCGTCCCACTGGAGCTGGTGGGCGGCGGCGAAGATCGTGGCCGCGAGATCCTCCTGCTCGTCGCTGAAGAGCTGGTAGGAATTGACCGAGTCCATAAGCTGATTCAGAAACTCCTGGCCGCACCCTTCGATCGCGCCCTCGACCTTGTAGGAGGGGAAGAGGATCACCCCGTCGAAACCTTGGCGGGACAGGGTCGGCCGGAAGGGGGCAGGGATCGACACGCGACCCTTGCTGTCCAGCTTCACTTCGTGGGTGCCGAGAAAGATCGGCGCCATGATCGGTCCCCTGTCCCGGCCTCGGCGCAACGGCCAAGCCGTGCGCGCCGGCGCCGCTCTGTCCGGATCGGGCGGGGCATCCGCCTGACCCGTCGCTCGCCCGGACGCCGCGAGCCCCTGGCGTCCGTCGGCCCTGCGGCCGCTTCACCCCCGTTGCGCGCCTTGCCCGTTCGGCGCCGCTTGCCGGACGCGGCCTGGGCTGGGCCGGTTCGGCATGGGATTAGATGGGATATCATGGGCCAGGGTGGGTGTCAACGACACTGGAAAGTATTCGTTTGCCATTTTCAAGTCATGTTTTCGGCGCTACTGCGCCCGGTAGCGATGCCGAATCGTCGCCGCACCAGAGCGCGAAAATCGCGCCGGTTAATCGCAAAGAAAGATATTGTTCTTTGAACGTTCTTATTTGGGCGTGAACAAAGACGGATCGTCGGGGCGGCGCCGGGCCGACGCTGTCTCGCGCCGTTCTGTCTCGGCGGCGCGGCCTGTGCCGGGCTGGCGGCGGGCTGGCGGCGGGCCGGGGGCGGGCCGGGGGTGGGCAGGCCGTGGGACGGCGCCCCACCGCCGGGCCAAGCCGGGCGGCGGCATGGGATGGCCTGG